CGCGAGCGCAAAATAAAAAGGGCAGCGCCCAAGCGCTGCCCCACACAAAATCTATGGGAAGGCCCTTACTGAGCGTCGCCTTCCTCATCTCCGGCTTCCATGCCGTCGTCCATTTCGCCGCCATCGGAACCACCGGTCACCGGTCCATCAACCAGGCCGGCCTCGACGCAGTCGTCGCGGGTGATGGTCGAAAGGTCGATCGACTCCGTGGTCAACTCCTCAGTCGAAGACGGATCTTCATCGACGGAATCGGCCTGGGTTTCCTCGCCGAGCGTCATGCAATAGTCCTCGACATAGACCCAGTCCTCGGCGCTAACGGCAATACCGCCGATTTCCCCGCCCATGGCAGATGCATCCTGAGCCATTGCGGGAGCGGCAAGACCAGCGGCGAGAGCGATAGAAGCAAAAAGAGCAGTGCGTTTCATGGTTTTCTCCATTGGTTTTTCTGTCGGTCAGCCTGAAAAGACAGCCGACGAAACAACGCATTACGAGCCGTTCTTCCGATTATTCGAAGCCGGCAGGCGGCGTTGGTGAGACAATGCAGACACCCTCAAGGGGGTTGCGAACGCAAATCTGTTCATTTCGTGGCGATACCGTGGCGCGCGGCTCGAGCCGCCCAGCAAAAAGGGCAGTTCTGATCGAACCGCCCTTGTCGCATCTATGGCAATGTTTTCTTCGATCAGATCAGACCGGCCTTCTGGCAGTCGCTCTGGGTGATCGAGCTCAGCTGAACGCTCGAAGTCGAAAGTTCAGCGGTCGCCGACGGGGTGAAATCAAAGGCGTCGGAGACCGAGAGGCCGTCAAGCGCGTCGCAGTAATCGGTCACATAGGACCAGTCGGCATCCGAAACTGTAACCGTGCCGATGGTGTTGGCCATTGCGGGAGCGGCAAGGCCGGCGACAATTGCGAAGGAGGCGAGAAGGGCATTGAGCTTCATTTTTTAAGTATCCTTTTCTTGAAGTCCCTCGTTGGGGACAAGACAAGAGATAGGCGCTCCCGAGCCGATTTCCAGATTAAAGATGTGAGTTTTTCGTCACAAAATGACGCGCCCGTTCACCTTGCCTTTTCGATGAAAGCGGGCGCGCCGAACGGCCCGATCCCGCCACGAAACCGGGTCCACACCTTAACATGGTTAAGTTTTAGTGCCGGTGCTCGCCTAAGGCTTGAGCACGATATAGGCCGCCGCCCCTGCCATGGCGCCCGCCGCGCCGCGATTGAGGGCCTTGAGCGCCCGCGGATTGCGCAGGAAGTCGCGGGCCTTGGCGGCCAGCGCCACATAAGGCACGACGACAAGATAGAGCACGATGATCGTCGTAACGACCAGCCCGGCAAACCGCTCGGGCGTAATGGCGTCCAGATCGACCACCGTGGGTAACAGCGCCATATAGAATATGATGGTCTTGGGATTGCCCAGCGTCACCGAATAGCCGCCCAGCATCGAGGCCATGGCACCACTGCCCTTGCCGGCCCGGACCTTTTCCGGATCGATCCCGGCCCGCCAGAAGCTCCACGCCAGATAGGCGAGATAGGCGGCACCGAGCACTTTGACGACAACGAATATCCCCGAAAAGGCCGCGGCCACCGCCGCCAGCCCCAGAACGGCAAGCGTGAGATAGGTGAGGTCGCCCAACACCAGCCCGGTGCCGAACCACACCGCCGGACGAAAGCCCGATCCGAGCGCCTTGCCGACCGCCGCGGCAATGCCGGGTCCGGGAATGGCGGCAGCAATGGCCAGCGCGATGGCATAGGGCAGATAATCGAGAACAAACATGAAACCGCGCCCCAAGGGCCTAAGTGAGGATAACAAGGCCACGCCAGATGAAAAAGCGAGCGGCGTGATTCGACAATTTAGGCGATATACGCCACTCGCAACGCGTTCTTACACCCCGTCGCAGGCCGTGAGAAGACACGAAACCACGGGGGTTACTTGCCCGCCAGCATCTCGCTCATCGGCCCCCAATACATCATCTGCCATCCGCCGGCGAGCATCTCGTGTGCGTCCTCGGGGTAGCCGCTCTGGTCGAACACAACGCGCGTGCCATCTCCGCTCTTGCTCAGTGCGAAGCAAACCAGCGAATAGGTCCCCTCTGGCCACGCATGGGACCGCCAGGCCTGGACGACGCGCTCGCCGGGCACCAGTTCGATGTTGCGGCCACCGATGTCGCCACCGAACATCGAGAAGGCCCCGCCCTCCTCGGTTGAGATATCGGCACTGCGTCCGCCGGTCATTGCGGCGAATTTGTCCGAGCTGGTGAGCACCTCAAAAACGGCGGTCGGGCTGGCGGGAATGGTGACTTCCTGATGAATGGTCATGATGGGCTCCTGTTTGACATTCACTGTCGATTCTGTATTTTCCTCAACCAACCGGTTGAGCTT